TGCAAGCTGCCTGACTTAAACCATTTTCATTTCATCTTCTCACCGAGTTTTGTGGTTTCCACGATTCACTTCTTGGTCTAGAAAAAAAAAAAAAAAAAAAAAAAAGGGGGGGGGGGTTTCGGATCAATAAAATAAAAGGATTTCCTTTCTTTAATTACATGTTCTTAGCTTGTACAGATTTAGATTATGACTTAGAAAGCAAATATCTGGCCAGACTGCAAGACTTTGCTCGCAGCGTGGGACAGCTCTCGTAAGGTGATTCAGGGAGTTCTGGAAACAAGACTCAGATCTCCAAACACTTTTTTGTGCTAATGTAGGAAGGGGAGAGTAAGGTAAAGGTAAGAGCCAGGTACCGTAAGAAGCAGAAAGTGTGAAGGAACTCCTTTTCTGGCTGAACAGCTCCATATCTAGTTGTCAAGTATGAAGAGAGCAGTTCTAAGTTTCTTGGGGAGAGGAAAAAAGAAGAGACTGGGAGATTGTAAAAGAAAAAAGTGGGATTCTATTTCAGGAAATCTAGAACTGGAAATAGAGATTGGAAGAGTGCTTTAAGCCAAGACAGAAACTTTTAAAACTAAAACCTAGGAGTTGGATGAACCAAGAAATGAATCCTTTTGATTATGCAGTTGTGTCCAGTGTTATCTTGGGAAAATGGTTTCCACTAAAAGTATGTGGGCTTGAAGTTTTCCTAAGCCCTTCTCTGTGTATTCCCTACTGTTTGGTAAGCGCTGAGGTCACACTGCAGACAGGCACTCTCCCCCCCACCACTAGCTGTCTGTTCTCACACACGCTAGAACAGAATGGCTTGGACACAACTGCGCCTAGGACGAGTTCATTCAAGCTGGTGGACAGGTAAAAGCTCTGGACAAGCGAAGGGAGGGAGGGATGGTGGACATACAAATGATCACTTTAATCTCATTTCTCTAAGAATCCTTCTGAGAAAACAAAACAAAACAGACAGAACAGAACAAATGAAACAAGCAGCTAGCTTGCTGGAGACATTGTCTGGGAGACAGTGAAAACACTTGCAACAAAAACATACGAAGGACTAACTCTTTGAGCTTAATTCTACTCAACAGCATAACCTCAAAGTCCTGTTTCTGTTCATAACAGGCTGGTCAGTAACATGGCCATTGATGACTTTGCAGCATAGATGTCAGGAATGCAGCTTGGGATCCCTCCTTCTACTAGAGTTCATTTGAAGGGATGAGTAATTTTTCCTGGGTTGGGGAAATCTAAAGTCTGTTTTCTAACACTCTTCAGACCTTCTCTGTCCATCGGCCTGTCCTGCCACTCTGGTGTGAGTGTGAAGTGTGGCAAGAGGGGTTTCCCATTCCTATTTGACCTGGTGGACACCAGCTTTCCTGGAAATTGCTGATGTTGCTGAGGAGGCGCAGTATCAAAGGCCTTGTGATGAAGGTACAACAGCTGGGGAGGCTTTGGCATTTCTGCACAGCTGCTCCCTGACTGTCACTCCAGACTCAGATTCGAAAGAAGCAAAGCAAGCTAGAGGAAAACTGGATGTCCGGTAATTTTTTTCTTTTTTTTTCTTCATTCTTCCTTGTAAGAAAATCTAATCTTAACTTTGTTTGAAAACACGGCTTTAGGAAATGCTTTGGGTGTGCTCCTTCACCTTGTTTGGAACCTGCTTCACCTCGCTTCAGCTAGGACACCTATGCTCAATTTATGCTTCCCATGATAAAGCGGTTCTTTCGTTTCTTTTCTGTGATGGTTGCAGGGAGGTTGAAAAGAGTTGTCAGTAGATTCTTCGTTTCCTTTGCAGTATCCAAAACTCCGTATTACGCGGATCTTCTCCTCTGATCTGAAAGCTTCACAGGCCAAAAGAGAATTGAGAGAAGAAGGAAATAGAGAATGCTGACCATATTTCCAATACCACCCGTAAGTTTTGGAAAGAATCCGGTGCATTTCTGTAGTGGTAGAAAGTTAATAAATCATCGTCGTGCACTTGAAGGCAAGCAATGCTTAAAAAAAGAATGCAAGGCCCTGCTTAAGGACATCTTCAGGCTGCTTCTGATCAACAGCTTATTTGCTTCTTCCAACCCTCATCTCCGCTTGCTAGAAGTTGTGAAGGTCGGAAGCACACTCCGTTTTTTCATCCCCTCTGTGTATCTTTTCCCTGACAGCAACTTCTGTCTTGGCTCTTCACATCCAGCCAGAGCAGTTTCTTTGCCTCCGCAACCTGCAGGCTGCCTCTCGTGTGTACCTGTGGTGGACTGAAGGTAATGCTTGTAACGCACACAGATGCTGATTCACTGACTTTAGAAAAGAGAGCAAGAAGCTAACCTGCCAGCAGTCTTAGGTTTCGTTCTCTCTCTCTCTCTCTCTCTCTCTCTCTCTTCTGCATATATTTCATACTTATTTACTTTTTAAAGATACCTTAAATAGAATAGATCTTTAAGAAAGCTTACTTGTCTTCCCTTTCTTGTTTTTAACGTTTCTTTTCTAACCAACCTTAATGTTACAACATTGGATTGATGAGTTCTCAGTTCTTAGAAGTTCTCAAAGCACATCAGTGATTTCTTATTTCTCAATCTTCCATCTCATTGAGACCTCTTATCTGAATTTAGGTATTAGGTGAAGAAGAACACTGCAACCAGCTGAAGCCGTATCAGACAGAGATGCTTCTATGCTAGGAAGTATTCAGAGTGCTTCCAGGCGTACTTTAGACAGATTTCTCTGGTCCTCTGGACTCAGCATCCCAAGGGATATTTCCAAGCTCTCGAAGGACCCGTCATTATCTCTGACACTGCAGTCTCCATAGGAAGGGGTAAATATTCCTTGCCCTTGTGCAAAGGAACTACTCAGTTAGCTGTTTCTAACCCAAATCTCTTTGTTGTCTTCTATTGACAGACACCACCCGGCTAGCCAAGCTAACCCATTGAAAATGGAAGGAGTGGGACATCTTCAAAGCCTGCTGCTGCTTCTAAGCAGAATGCGCTGTAGGTGGGGACACAGCAAGAGGACACGTCCAGGCCACGCTGGAACTGCAAGGCACCTGTCTGAGCCACACAACGAAGTCAGCGATTCCAGTTGGAGACTGTTCTCGACCAGTGACACAGCAGCTGGAGCGCTTCTGGTTGCTGCTGCTGGGTTCCCGTGAATCAGCCAGGGATAGGAGCTATGAGAACGACTGAAGCGATCTGAAGTTACCTGAAAGAAAGAAAAGAGGAGGGAGAAGACAAGAGGGGAGGGAAGGGGAGGGAATAAAAAGAAGGGAGGGGAGGGAAGGGGAGGGAAGGGGAAGGGAGGGGAAGGGAGGGAAGGGGAGGGCAGGGCAGGGGAGGGGAAGATAGTGTAGGGGAGGTTAGGGGAGGGTAGGATAGGGTAGTGTAGCATAGCATAGCATAGCGGGTAGGGTAGCATAGCGTAGTGTAGTGTAGTGTAGTGTAGCGTGGTTAGAGGGGAGGGGAGCATAGGAGAGTATAGGGTAGTGTAGGGGAGGGGAGGGCAGGGAGGGGAGGGGAGGAGGGCAGGGGAGGGGAAGATAGTGTAGGGGAGGTTAGGGGAGGGTAGGATAGGGTAGTGTAGCATAGCATAGCATAGCGAGGATAGGATAGCATAGCGTAGTGTAGCGTGTAGAGGGGAGGGGGAGCATAGGAGAGTATAGGGTAGTGTAGGGGAGCGGAGGGGAGGATAGGGGGGGGAGGCATGGTAAGGGGTAGTAGGGGTAGTGTAGGGTGTGTAGCGAAGGGGAGTGTAGGGTAGGATAGGGGAGGGGAGTGTAGGGGTGTGTAGGGGAGGGAGGGGAGGGGAGTGTAGCAGAGTGTAGGGACAGGGAGCATAGGGGAGGGGAGGGAAAAGCAAAAGAGGGGAGGGGGGGAGGGGAGGATAGGGTAGTGTAGGCATAGCATAGCGTAGGTAGTAGCATAGCGTAGTGTAGCGTGGTAGAGGGGAGGGGAGCAGGAGGAGAGTATAGGTAGTGTAGGGGAGGGTTAGGGGAGGGGAGGGTAGGATAGGGTAGTGTAGCATAGCATAGCGTAGGTAGGGTTAGCATAGCGTAGTGTAGCTGGTGGTAGAGGGGAGGGGAGCATAGGAGAGTATAGGGTAGGGTAGGGGAGGGGAGGGAGGGGAGGGGAAGCAAAAGAGGAGAGGGGAGGGGAAGCAAAAGAGTGGGGGGAGGGGAGGAAGCAAAGAGGGGGGAAGGGGAGGGTAGGATAGGGTAGTGTAGCATAGCATAGCATAGCGTAGGGTAGCATAGCGTAGTGTAGCGTGGTAGAGGGGGAGGGAGCATAGGAGGAGTATAGGGTAGGGTAGGGGAGGGGAGGGGAGGGGAAGCAAAAGAGGGGAGGGGAGGGGAGGGGAGCAAAAGAGGGGGGAGGGGAGGGGAGGGGAGGAAAAGCAAAAGAGGGGAGGGGAAGGGAGGGGAGGGGAGGAAAAGCAAAAGAGGGGAGGGGAGGGAGGGAGGGAGGGGAGGGGAGTGCTACCATAAATAAAATTGCCAAATACATGACATTTGGATCTGGAGCCAAATATTTGTGTTGCTGAAGGGATGCAAGACACAGACTCCTGATGGCTCTGGAACAGGAGGCGTTTATTGCCCTTTTTCACTCCTACATGTCCTCTCCCCGTAGCCCACGTGCTGTCCACGCGCCCAAATCTATCATACAGTTGGTCAGAGACCCTCAGACACGCGCCTGGAGCCAGCCAGCAATTGCCCACTGCCCAAAGGTCCTCTTTAACACTTCAATTCTTGATCTCAGCCTGGCTCAAGTTTTTGTTTCTACCGCGTGTTTACTCGTTACCTCTAATTCAGGGACCTGCGAAACAGCGCGAAGCCACCTGCAAATTCCCTCCCCACACGTTGCCCTTCATTCCACAACCTGATTTATCGCTGCCATCCGCGCATTGCACAGTGCCATGAAAGGTTGGGCGTGCACAGAGGTGGCTGAGGATTTTCAGAAATAACTTTCCTTAAGAACTGCATCAAGACTTTTGCTGGAAGGCAAAAGATCGGCTGACTGATTAACGTAGGGATGGCAGCTGAGCAAGGGAAGCATCTTCCAAACTTCCAAATATTTCCTGGATGCAGAACTACAACTCCTCTGCTCTCCGGCTTAGGAGTTTCCGTCACCTGCTGGGAAGCAGAAGCAGTAACATGGGATTTAGAGGATCCAGTGCCAGTTAGAGGAAACCATCAATTTACGGGGTTTGAAGAGAGTTGGACCAGTGTTCCAAGGAACATGTACTAGTGCTGCATATCTATGCATAGAAATATCTCTACAGCTGGCTTGTATCAGCACATAGAGTGGCCCTCAGGACTAGGGAAGCGGTTGTCCCTCTGTGCTCGGCTCTGGTGAGGCCGCACCTCGAGCACTGTGTTCAGCGAAGACCTCGAGGTGCTGGAGCGTGTGCGGAGAAGGGCTCTGAAGCTTGTGAAGGGTTTAGAGAACAAGTCTGGTGAGGAGCGGCTGAGGGAGCTGGGCTTGTTCAGCCTGGAGAAAAGGAGGCTCAGGGGAGACCTTCCTGTGCTCTACAGGAAGCTGAAAGGAGGCTCCAGAGAGGTGGGGATCGTTCTCTTCTCCCAAGACCCCAGGTGACAAGACAAGAACAAAACCCCTTAGGTTGTACCAGGGGAGGTTTCGGTTGGTTCTTACGAAAAATTTCTTCACCGAAAGAGTTGCTCTGGTGGGTTTACGTGGCAAGGTTTGGTAGCAGGGGCCTAGGGGTGGCGTTCGTGAGAAGAATCCAGAAACGCCAGCTCCAGTAGATAAGGCCCCGCTGGCCAGAGCCAGCCAAAAGCGATGTGTTGATTCCTCTGGAGAGCGAATGTAAGAAAGGGAAAAAAATACAAAAGCTGCTAGGGAGACAAGGAGTGAGAAGCAGCCCTGCAGCCCCCCAGGGGAGTGCAGCAGGAGGCAGGAGGTGCTCCAGGCTCACAGCAGCAGTTCCCCTGCGGGCTGTGCAGGGAGAGGCCCCCGGTGGAGCAGGCTGTCCCCCTGCACCCATGGGTCCCCCAGGAGCAGATCTCCACGCTGCGCCCCCCTGTGGGTGGAGGAGCCCCCGGTGGAGCAGGTGGTGTGGCCTGGAGGAGGCTGCGGCCCTGGAGAGCCCCCGCAGGAGCAGGCCCCGGGCCGCAGCTGCAGCCACTGGAGAGGAGCCCCACGGGAGCAGGGGGTCTGGGGGGAGCTGCCGCCCAGCCGTGGGGGACCCGTGCTGGAGCAGTTTGCTCCTGGGGGATGGATGGATGGATGGAGCCCGTGGGACGGAGCCGTGTGGGAGCAGTGCTTGAGGAGCTGCTGCCTGTGGGCAGCCCGTGTGGGATCAGCTGGGGAAGGACGGCATCCCGTGGGAGGGACCCCACGTGGAGCAGGGGCAGGGGATATGGTGAGGGAGCGGTGGAGACAGAGCGTTAGGGATTGACTGCAGACCCCATTCTCCTGTTCAGCTCTTCAGGAGGAGGTAAAAGAGTAGAATGTGGGGGAAGGTGTTTTGGGTTTGCTTTTAGTTCTCACTGCTCTAGTCTGTTAGCAATAGGTAATAAATTATATTAATCTTCCTGCACTGAGTCTGTTTTGCCTCTGGTGGTATTTGGTGAGTGTTCTCCCAGTCCTTATCTCAACATATGAGCTTAATTTTTCCATCGTATTTTCTCCCCCTTTGTTCTTTGAGGAGGGACAGCAAGAGAGCAGTGTGGTGGAGCAGTGTTTAGCTGCCCATCAGTTGTGAAATCAGCCGGCTCATTGTGAGCTGAAAGATGTTAGATTTGATCTAATTGCTTTTTGGGAAATGAGTTGACAACCTCTCTTACACACCTGTCAGCTGGCTGGGAAGTGGGCACTGGGATCTTTCAACTCTCAGCCAGACAAAAGAGACCCCCTTTCTCAATGTAGAGGAGATAGGAGAGAGACACAGGCATTTTTTACCAGGATCTCCGTGTCAGCCTTTGAAGGAGGGCTCCATGGATGTGAAGCAGAGCCCTATTACTCTGACAAGGCTGGGCTGCTATGGCACAGATGACCAGAAAGGTTTCTTTTTGTTTTACAGTGAGCACAGATATATATTTTTGCTTTAGGAAACTGCTTGCCTGTGGTGACCCTGCCCAGATGGAGTTATGTCTGGTTGTAAAATGGTGATTTATTGGTTGAGTTACGGGGCTTTTTTGGGGAAGGAGTGAAAATTGCAGGAGGATGTGGGGTAGCAAACCACAGTGGAACCCACAGGAAAAAAGGGAGACAACACCTCAACGCTTAGTACCAGGCCACATGCTTCCTGTTTGTGGCAATTAAAGGAGCTGGAAAAGGTCTAGCTGCTCAGATGCAGGGCTTCTGGCAGGCTGTTGATGTCTGGAGCCAGCCCGGAGATCCTCATTGCACCGTGGCATTTGAGGCTGGTGTTGAGACACATGGTCTTTTATTCTTCTCGGTCCCTCCAGTCTTCCCAACACCCCCAAATTATCAATGACTTGAAAATATTTTTGTGCTTACGATGTTTTAACAGATTACTAGGAGGTACTGGTCTGGCACGCTACGCTCTGTTAGACTGCCAAAGCAAATGTTGAGGAAAGAGATTTTATTTTTTTAAACGGGGTCTGAGAATGCTGTCTGTCTTCAGTAGATGTATTTTTTTTTCTTTTGCATGTTTTCAGTAAGCTTTCACCACAGAAATGCTGATGTATTTCTTCTGACTTGTGGTG